TCCCCGTTCGAGGCCGACTGATCCTGCCTCCTCCTACAGTCCACCCGCACAGCGCATATTAAGGATGGGCAACCATCCCAAGGGTACCCTTGCATCCTTGCCCCTTCGGCCCATCCTCGGCGACTGTCGCTGACCAGCCTCGTTCGAAAAACGTTCGCGTGGGCCTCCGAGGCCCTTGCACCCTTGCCGCGCATCCATCTGATTCGGGTTGACTGTCATTGCTCCTCCTCCTCCTGCGCGGGCTGCTCTGCGCTGAGAGTCCCATTGAGCCTGCGCGAGCCGAGCTTCGTACCGGGAGGGGGGCGCCATGCAGGGGTGGGCCTCGGCGTGTTCTTCGGGCCGTCTCTCGGCGGGTCGAAAGGAGGGAAAGGTATCGATACCCTTGCCTCGTTTTCGCCTTTTCGGACCTCCTGGGAGGCCCCCGTCGCCACCGCTGGAGTCGCCTCGAAGTTCTGGTCAGAACGCACCCTGGGAGAGGTCCCGGGGAGTAGCGGTATCGGTGATGGGGTGTTTGAGGAGGGGAGGCAGGACCCAGAGGTCCCACTCAGTGTATAACATGCACATTTTCCCCGCGCTCCTCCCCCTCTGGCGGCGGTTGGATGCCCGTGGCCCACGCAGCGGCCGCGCGCGTTTTCGCGTCGTGGAGGCTTCGGCAGGCTGTGTGGCGCACGCACGCCTGAGCGAGGAGGGGGGGGAGGACGAGGAGGATATGAGGATCGGGAGGAGGGGGGCAGGGAGGGGAGGAGTGGAGGGAGGAGGACGAGGATGAGTCTGCTGATCTGTAGGAGACTGTGTATGGGGGAGAGGCTGGAGGAGGAGAAGGAGAAGAGCGAGTAGGAGGAGGGGGAAATGGGCGGGGAAGAGGATCTGGACCCGTGGACATTGTCCACTTAAGGAGGTGTTTGGGGCATTACGCCTGGCGCCTTGGTCGTCTCCCCAATTTCCTGTTGCATTGATTGACTGCTCACTCTGGCTTTGCTTAGCGAAATTGTGATACCTTTCCGCAAGGTGGCATTCCTGTCGCAGGCAAACTACGACGCGGTGCAGACTGTGCTGGACGACGGCGTCCAAGTTGTCATCTGCGACGGCAGCGATGACACATACGCATCGCCCCTAATCCTCGATTATTCGCTTGCGCGTGATCCTCTGTCCGGCATCATGTGGCTGATGCAACCTTGGCCGTTTCGTTCCCAGCGGCATCTCGGTCGCACCTTGGGCTGTCTTCGAAGCGCGGTGTGGAGGTCGCAGCGCTTCGAATGAATCTAGGATAGAGGCATGGATCGCGCGTGAGTCTTCGATCATATACGTGGTTATCTGGCCTCTTAAGCCCACTGTCAATGGTGAGTTGTCTTCGCAGCCATGGCCGTGCACCCAAGGCTGATTGCTCCAGCACCGACGACATGATCCATCACATACTCCAGGGCGACTTCGTGGCCGGCTTGATTTCTGGCCTGCCAGAGTGGCCTGGCTGAGAGGGCGGGTGGCGGCAGCTCGTCAGTGTGACGAATAAGGAGTATGAGGGTGGGTAGGATGATAAGATTGTCGTTGCTAATGACAATGGGGATGTCAATGATGCTGCTGCCGATGATGATGGCTCTGCTGGTAGTGATGATCATCATCATGATGAGAAAGAGCGTGTTCTACCGCTGCTGGCGGAAAACCGGGGGGGGTCACTACCGGTTCGAACCCCTCCCCCCCCCCCCCCCTCCGGAAAACCGGGGGGGTCACTACCGGTTCGAACCCCTCCCCCCCCCCCCCCCCAGCTCATCATGAGAAGGGGGGGTCACTACCGGTTCGAACCCCTCCCCCCCCCCCTCGAAAACCGGGGGGGGTCACTACCGGTTCGACCCCCCCCCCCCCCCTCGAAAACCGAGTGGGGGTGCGGACAGTGGTGGGGACGGTGTTGGTGGGGACAGTGGTGAGGGGATAGCGGGACAGTGGTGGGGACAGTGGGACAGTGGGACAGTGGTGGGGACGGTAGTGGTGGGGACAGTGGTGGGGACAATGGTGGGAACAGGGGGGGACAGTGGACAGTGGTGGTGACGGTGGTGGTGGGGACAGTGGTGTGGGGACAATGGGAATGAGGTGGAAACAGTGGGACAGTGGAGGGTACAATGGTGGTGGGGACAGTGGTGAAGGCGGTGGCGAGGACGGCGGTGGGACAATGGGACAGAGGTACAGTGGGGACAGTGGTGGGGACAGTGGGGACAGTGGTGGGAACAGTGGGACAGCTCAGTGGGACAGCGGAGGAGTCAGTGGGACAGTGGGGACAGTGGGGATAGTCGGGCAGTGGTTGGGGCCGTGGAGACAGTGGGGAGAGTGGAACCGTGGTGGGAACAGTTCTGGGGACAGCGGGGACAGTGCGACAGTGGTGGGGCCACTGGTGGGGACAGTAGGGGCGGTGGTGGAACCAGTGGGGACAGCGGTGGTGAGGACAGTGGTGCTGGGAACACCAGTGGGGGATGTGATGCGGACGGTGGTGGGGACCGGGAGTCGTTTGCTGGCGGTGAGTAGGGGGGGGGGGGGGGGGGGGGGGTCGAACCGGTAGTGGCCCCCTCCGGTTTTCCGGATCCTGAGGGTAGGGGGGGGGTGAGGGGTTCGAACCGGTCCGGTTTTCGAGCGGAAGGGGGGGGGGGGGAGGGGTTAGGGAGGGAGGGTTTGCCGGGGGAGAGGGGGGGGGGGAGGGGTTCCAGCAGGGGGGGGGGATTTTCGGAGGGGAGGGGGGGGGGCGACCCCCGGGTTCCGGAGGAAAAGGTTGGCAATTTTCCACAGTATAGCGGCGGTGGATCACGCTCTCTCCATGATGACGATGATGATGATGATGATGATGATGATGATGATGATGATGATGATGATGATGATGATGATGGTACTGGCAACGACGATGATGACGATGATGATGACGACAACGAATATGATGATTATGATGACGATGATGATGATGACGATGATGATGATGATGATGATGATGATGATGATGATGATGATGATGATGATGATGATGATGACACTGCCGATGCTGCTGCTGCTGATGATGATGATGCTGATGATGATGACGATGTAGACGATGTTAATAAGTATGGTGGTGATGATGGTTATGACGATAATAGTGATGCTGATGGTGCTGATGATGATGCTGATGCTACTACTGATGTTGGTGCTGATGTTGATGATCAGGATGCCGATGCTGCTGACGATGATGTTGGTTATGCTGGTGATTATGATGATGATGGTCATGATGATGACGATGTTGATGAGGAGGAGGATGGCGACGATGATGCTGATGCTGCTGATGATGATGCTGATGATGATGATGCTGATGCTGATGCTGATGACGTTGATGATGACGACGTCGCCGTCGACGACGACGCCAATAATGATGACGTTGGCGATGCTGCTGCTGCTGCTGCTGATGATGATGATGATGATGATGCTGATGATGATGATGATGATGAACAACAGGAGGAGACCAGTTGGATGATTCGGTTTTTTCCCTGAAGAAGGTTTACTACGAGGGACCAGTGGCGAAGGGGAGGCGAGGCTGTACAGGCACACGGGGATGGGTGGAGCAAGATCCTGTACATGCGAGGGACGGTGCCCGTCACGAGCGAAGCGGATAGTGCTGGATCTCTCTGTTTGCACCAGGGTTAACGGCACCGCCCTCCAGAGGAGGCTCCCGTGTTGGGTCGTGACTCGGATGCCTTCCCGCAGATTGCCCCGTCCGGCAAGGAGCAGGGAGGAGATAAACGGTCGGGGACCGTCGTCGCTCCGCCGGGTTCTGGCCCAGCACGCCTCGGCGCGACGCGCTATATCCGCTCCCCAGTCCCCCAGGCTCCAGCGTCGCGAGCCTTTCCTTTGGCCTCCCGCCCCGCGGAGCGGAGCGGCACGCTTCCGGCCTGCAGGGCACGGCGCGTCGCCGGGGCCGCCGCCGCTGCGGGGTATACACAGATCGTCGCAGGTCCGCGCGGATGCCTTGGATCGGGGCTAAGCCCCCCCTCCCCTGGCACGCGGAGGGCGCCAGGGGCGGGGACGGAGTTTGTGCTGTGTCTTCTGTTTCCGACGATTATCGGCCGCCTGAGGCCCCGCCCGCCCGCGCCCCGTCTCCCCAATTCGTGCTTTGCGCGGCCCGCCTAGCTCTTACGCGGAAGAGGCTCGCTGTCGACCCGCAGACCAACAAAAAGTCCCCAACGAGTCGCGAGGGGTCCGTCGAAGCCCCCTGGGCGTACCCCCACCGACAATTCTTCCCGGGCTTTCGGGCCATCCACCTCGGCGCTCGGGCAGCCGCCTGGCTCGATCGTGGCACCCCCGCAGCGCACTCGGCGAGGCGCAGCCCGTTGGAGAGCAGTGCGAGGCCCGACAACCGCCGAGGAGCGACGAACACGTCCGAAAACATGGAGCTTTAAAACGACGCGAAGATCGGGATAACTCGAAATCTCTAAGAATCGGCGGGTTTGGAGGATGTATTGGGCGCCGCGGCCGCTCCAGAGCGTTCCGGAACGCTCTGAGAGCGCTCCGGAACGCTCTGGAGCGATTTATCCCGATCCTAGCCCTGTTTTAAGCTTCGTCGGAAGCCCACAGCGTCAGCCCCTCCTCCCTGACGTTGGCCCTGACCCAGGGGCAGAGCGCGCTGTCCTGACTTTGTCAATGCGGGGTCCTGGGAAGTCCCGCCCACTTCTCCGGGACCGGCTTTGCGTCCCGGTTATGGGGGGGTCCCAAGAACATATTTTGCGTCCCGGTTATGGGGGGGTCCCAAGAACATAGGTTCCGGTGTTCCGTAGCCATTTTGGCTCAAGCCCTTTTGGCTCAAGCCAATTTGGCTCAAACCACTGCAGGCGGGACAGATATCTGATTCTGACAGATCTTCCCCTCGAAGTTTTCGCCAGGCGCCATGAAGTCATTTGGAGGCGATGCCGATTCGCAAGGGATTCAAAAGCAAGCATCTGTGCTTTGCAACGATGAGGGCGTGAATGTGTATTTGGGGAGCTTCTGGGGGCCAGGATACGATGGTTCATCAACCTACTACTGTGGGAGGCATCTCGGTATAGCCGCCATTCCAGGCTCGGATGGACAGTGCGGCCCGAGAGCTGGACCGCAGTGCCCTTCTTGCACACGTTTGCAGACGGCGCTTACGCGCAAAAAGCGTCTCGTTGTCTTCGCCAAGATGGTCGCGGGTTTTGTCCGTTTCTTCTTCGAGGACGTGTGCAGCGGAGGGTGCCAGTTGATCTACCTCTGTAAATTATGGAAGACTCTTACTTGGGGTGCCAGGGCCTTCACAATACTTTCGGTGGCAGCGGGCGTCATGACGTCGCTGATGGGGCCTCTACGTGAATGGTGTAGCCTTCGCGAAATCAACGCATCCTTGGGGGACGAGCAGCCGCTAGAGTCGAATCATCCGTCGAACGACCTTCGCCAGCCAGGTCAACGGAGGAGCGGGCGTCGCGGTGCCAAAGTGGACTCAAAAGCTCTCCATAAGTACCGCCCGAAGGTTGCAGTAGTGTTCGACCACTCCGTCGCTGACATTGTGGACGGGATTGGCAGCAGTAAGAACATCAGGACCGCTTTGGTGGTAGGGGCTATTGTTTTTTGGGTGACAATGGCGGCTTTGCCCTTCCTCATGCCTGTCCATTGCGGGACTTCCCCTAGGGTGAAGCACTATGCTGTCTTTTTCGGGTTGACGGCGCTCCTCATGCTGTTGGAGACATGGATCATTATGCATTCGAGGCTGGGCTACCTGATGTTCAAGCACTTGCGCGTGAAGCTTTTATTTGGCTACGTGCTTGCGTTTCTCGGTCGCTTCGACACTTTCTCCGACTGCCTGTTCGCGGGGATGATCGTGTCCTGCTCCGACATCACCTGGTTTTCGATCCACGAGCACTACTTCTACTTCCCCTTCGGGTTAACCTTGGCGAAAATCGTGTTGGGCGTCCTGGTCATCTGAGTATTCTGTCTGCAAGCGGTGCCCGGGGTGCTCTTGCTGGCTTGTCGGCCAGACCAGCTGGCCACGAGTTGCAAGCTCAACGAGTACAATGTGGTCCTAGCGGTCATGGATTCAGAGAGCCACGAGGACGGCTACATTGCCAGTGCGGAGCACGGTAACTTAGAAGAGGTGGCGCATGTGATGTCCAAGTTTGTCAAGAAGAACGAAGATGACCTCGATGACCTCGAGGGCGATGATCTCGATGACCTCGAGGACGGGAGTTCAGCGTGAGAGCACGCCTCATTTTTTCATGTGCCAAGGCTGCGTGAAGCATTGTAAGAGCCAGCGTGCTGCTGTAGGAACAGCCTGCCAGAGCACGCCTCTCCAGAGCCAGCATGGCTCTGTAGGAACAGCCTGCCTGCCGCGCCGCGATGAAAAACACTCCGATGCGCTTCGCACTACCAGCAGCGCCGCATCCTTGTAGAATGAGCCCTGTCGGCAACCGAGGGCAATCCTACGTGCATGCCGTATGTACGTTACACGTTTCTTGCGTTGGAGTCTTGTGCCAGGGGTTTCAGGGTCGCACGTTAGTTCTTTAGGCTCTGGATGGGGTGGAGGGCAGGCACTGTTTGCGTAGCGCCCACCAGTCTCAGCATCACTGCGGCAAGAATAGGGCTGGCCGCTACTGGGCAAAGGCGCATCTGGCTCTCTGTCCAGCGTTTTGATTACTGCGTGGCCCCCTGGCTTGCGTTTTGACTGCTGCGACCACGGAGTGCTTAAGAGTATGCGCAAGGCCCTCCTCCGAGAGGGCCTGCGGCCATCGTTCAATCTGTGGCCGGTCAAAGGATGCTGGCTTGGGTAGTCAAAAGGAGGCGTCGCGAGTCCCGTTCGCTTCACACTTCGCAGTCCCCCAAGGATGGCCGGACACACTTGATGATTTTTTCAGTGGCCTTGCAGGGCAGTTTCACCGCACCGCTGTGGCATGCCGGCAGGGCAGTTGCAGGGCAGTTGCACCATTCACGACGATGGCAGTTGCAGGGCTGTTGCCCCATTCAATGTCGTTCCATCTTCTGTCGCGCCTCCGACGTGCTGCCAGGTCGTCCGAATGGTCGTCAAGCTTGGCGCGTTGCCGCTTGTTTTAATCGATGGCAAGCGTGTGCGCGCCTTTTTTCCGTGACACCGCGATCAGCAGTTTGCCGATAGTGAATAGAGGAGTCGAGGGTGAGCAGGAGGGATGGTGGCAGAAGAAGCCGGAGCAGTCGGTCGGTGGAGTAGGCAGGGGACGGCCAGCCAGCGGGGGCGCTGTGTTGCGTGCCAGATTTTGTTGCCAGCGCTTCACGCGCGAGTCAGGCGTAGCGTGCTGCCGCTTGTTTGAATCGATGTCAAGCGTGTGCGCGCCTCGACTCCGTGGAACCGCGTTCGGCCGTCTCCGTTGCAGACGGTGGACGGAGCAGGTCAGGGTGAGCAGGAGGGATGCTTCGGAAAGGAATCTTACATGTAAGAATTCAGACACCGAAATTCAAGACTGAATGGTCCTCTGGTACTTCTTCAGGTGAGCTTCACAAGCTTGCGATATCAACCAAAAAAAAAAAACATAGGTTCCGGTGGGTCAGGATGCCGGGGCGAGGTGGGGGGTCAGGGTCGGTTCCGGGCCAAAGAATTGTCGGTTGGGGGCCCCAAGAACAGAGAGATGTTCCAGTGGGTCAGGATGCCGGGGCGAGCTGTTCCAGTGGGTCAGGATGCCGAGCCGTCCTCTAATGGTTCCACGGCCCGGCGAGGAGCAACAGAGGAACAGAGGCCGAGCATGCCGATTTTTCGTTGCCACGCGATCTTGTCTGCGGAGGCAAGGTTCAGGAAAGAGGGAAGAAGCGCACAGACACGAAAAGTCGTCGATCCCGAGGAAGATACGGAAAAATGATGGGCAGTGGGGGAGGGAAGACGATGCTTGTGAAAAGAGAGGGAATCCTGGGATTTTGGTTCCTATTTCTTTGCGTGTCCCTTGGCCCCTTCGTACAAAGGCGGGGCAGGTCCCAGACCCCCGACGTCGTGATCTTTCCACAACGTCGACCCCCAGAGGTCTGGACCCGTTCCCCGGGACCGGTTTTCATCCAGAGTCGTTTTCTGACGGCCCCTGGAGGCCGACAAAAGGGGGGAAAAATTGCCGTCGTGATTTTTTCGCAGCGCGAGGGGGTCAAAGTTTTTTTATATATATATATATATATAACCGCATGCCGAGGATAATAATGTATCCCCCCCTTCAGTCTTTATAGTTGATTATCGGCGCCCTATATAAAATTCAAGTTGGGCGGCGAGCGTTGAGGCCGAACTTCATTATCACCTCGTAACGTTATGTTGAGATAGCAACATCAAGTTATGTTGAGATAGCAACATCGAGCGAAACGATCACACCTTTTTCAGGATGTGTCAAGCGAAACCAAGAGTTTTTGGAGGCAGACTCAAACGAAACGAGCAATGTTTCAAGGATGTCTCAAGCGAAACCAGCAATTCTGTGAGGATGTCTCAAGCGATTCGAGAAGCTTGTCGAGGATGTCCCAAGCGAAACAAGCATATTCTCGAGGATGTCTCAAGCGAAACAAGCATATATTGAAGGATGTCTCAAGCGAAACGATACGTTTCTTAAGGGTGTCTCAAGCGAAAACAACAATTCTGTGAGGATGTGTCAAGCGAAACCAACAATTTTGGGAGGCAGACTCAAACGAAACGAGCAATGTTTCAAGGATGTCTCAAGCGAAACCAGCAATTCTGTGAGGATGTCTCAAGCGATCCGAGAAGCTTGTCGAGGATGTCTCAAGCGAAACAAGCATAAACTCGAGGATGTCTCAAGCGAAACAAGCATATACTGAAGGATGTCTCAAGCGAAACGATACGTTTCTTAAGGATGTCTCAAGCGAAAACAGCAATTCTGTGAGGATGTGTCAAGCGAAACCAAGAATTTTGGGAGGCAGACTCAAACGAAACGAGCAATGTTTCAAGGGTGTCAAGCGAAACCAGCAATTCTGTGACGATGTCTCAAGCGATTCGAGAAGCTTGTCGAGGATGTCTCGAGCGAAACAAGCATATACTCGAGGATGTCTCGAGCGATTCGAGAAGCTTGTCGAGGATTTTTCAAGCGAAACAAGCATATAGTCGGGGATGTCTCAAGCGAAACAAACATATACTGAAGGATGTCTCAAGCGAAACGATACGTTTCTTAAGGATGTCTCAAGCGAAAACAGCAATTATGTGAGGATGTGTCAAGCGAAACCAAGAATTTGGGGAGGCAGGCTCAAACGAAACGAGCAATGTTTCAAGGATGTCTCAAGCGAAACCAGCAATTCTGTGAGGAGTGATTCGAGAAGCTTGCCGAGGATGTCTCAAGCGAAACAAGCATAAACTCGAGGATGTCTCAAGCGAAACAAGCATATACTGAAGGATGTCTCAAGCGAAACGATACGTTTCTTAAGGGTGTCTCAAGCCAAAACAGCAATTCTGTGAGGATGTGTCAAGCGAAACCAAGAATTTTGGGAGGCAGACTCAAACGAAACGAGCAATGTTTCGAGGATGTCTCAAGCGAAACCAGCAATTCTGAGAGGATGTCTCAAGCGATTCGAGAAGCTTGTCGGGGATGTCTCAAGCGAAACAAGCATATACTCGAGGATGTCTCAAGCGAAACAAGCATGTACTTAAGGATGTCTCAAGCGAAACGATACGTTTTTTAAGGATGTCTCAAGCGATGTCTCAAGCGAAAACAGCAATTCTGTGAGGATGTGTCAAGCGAAACCAAGAATTTTGGGAGGCAGACTCAAACGAAACGAGCAATGTTTCGAGGATGTCTCAAGCGAAACCAGCAATTCTGTGAGGATGTTCCAAGCGATTCGGGAAGCTTGTCGAGGATGTCTCAAGCGAAACAAGCATATTCTCGAGGATGTCTCGAGCGATTCGAGAAGCTTGCCGAGGATGTCTCAAGCGAAACAAGAATATACTCGAGGATGGCCCAAGCGAAACAAGCATATACTGAAGGATGTCTCAAGCGAAACGATATGTTTCTTAAGGGTGTCTCAAGCGAAAACAGCAATCGCTCGAGGATGTCTGAAGCGAATTGAGAGATGCTGTGAGGATGTCTCAAGCGAAACGAGCGATTCGTCGAGGATGTCTCAAGCGAAACAAGTATACGAGGATATCTCAAGCAAAGCGAGAGATTTGTCGAGGATGTCTGATGACGAGAGATTTGTTCGAGGATGTCTCGAGCGGAACGGGCGCGTTTTCGAGGGTGCCTCCAGCGAAGCGAGCAATTCTCCTGCTCCCGCCCGCGACCGTTCAAGCTCGAGCGTTTCGAGCTTTCCGAGTTCTCGAGCCTTCCGAGCTTTCGAGCTTCAGCTTCGCCATGGCGGTGTCCAAGCCCTCGAGCCCGCAGATGACCGAGGACAGCCAAGTCATCGCCCTGCTCGAGCAGAACAACAAGCTCCTCAAAGGAGTTACCAAGCTCCTCGAGGAGCAGAGCAAGCTTGCCGACTTGCAGAACCAGGGCCTCGCGTACATCGCCGAGAAGGCGGGGTGCGCCGAGATGCGCCAATGCCAAGCCAGCGGCGAGGCAACCGACGCTTCGAGAATGTTGGGGATGTGGTGTCGAGGGAGTTCCGGCGCCGCGTTGGGGAGTGTCCTCAAGAATGGAAGCCTCGAGGGGATCAAGTACGAGGGCATCTTCCGAGGCAAGGATCGGCGCCGAAGCGAGCTCTTCTGCGCGATCTTCTTCAAGGCGCACATCGAGCGGAGCGGCGAGACGTTCGACGCCTTCGACGACGCAGACAAGAGCGCCGAGACGTTGTTCAAGATTTTGCCGAGCTTCCGAGCGGAGTTGCTCGACGAGGCCAAGACGCACGACGCCATGGTCGGCGAGGAGGTCGAGATGATGCCCAAGGGGCCCGCGACCGACATTGTCAGGCGAGCGCTCGGCGAGACCCCCGCAGATCTGCAAGCGCTGTACGAGATCATGCTCCCAGTGAACAAGCAGTGCAAGCCCATCTTGCCGAGCGACAGCGACGAGCCAGACGAGGGCGCGCGCGCGTTCGACACGGTCGCCTCCGCGCCCGAGGCGGCCAAGCCATACTTCGAGCAGTTCCAGGCAAACAGCATCGATAACTACGAGAACGAGCGCATCCTCGTGACCGAGGGGATCGTCGCCTGGTGCTGGCAAATCGCCGAGTTTGCCAAGAAGCGCCGCGAGCTCGATCAACACGGGTACTTCGCCAAGCGCGCCAAGATGGACGAGGGCACCAAGCGCCAGAGGAAGCTCGAGTACGGGAAGCATTTCTTCGACATCTACGTCCAGAAGAAGTTTCCGAGCTACTGCAAGATCATCGAGGAGTACAAGGAGATGTGCGACGAGAAGAAGCGCAAGCAGGAGCTCAAGACGTCCGAGGCGCAGGCTTGAGCCGAGCCAGGCTCAGCACGAGGCCTGATCGAGGCCTGAACGAGGAGCGAGCGGCGATGAGCGCCCAGCTCCCTCGAGTTTTTTTTTTCGAGAGGCGTTATCCGAGAGGCTTCGTCAGCCCCCTCTCGAGCGTAAAATCGAGCGTAACTCCATCGAGGCTCGATCCTCGATCGATCTTCGGATCGAGGCTCCGAGAGCCTCGGGCCATCGTTGATCCGAGATCACAAGATCTCGGATCCCTGGCCCGAGAACTCTGGACTCTCGATCGGAGGATCGATCCAGGATCGACCCTCTGTCTCAATTTCTCCCTCCTCTTCGAGGCGCGATCCTCGATAGATCTTCGGATCGAGGCTCCGAGAGCCTCGAGCCATCGTTGATCCGAGATCACAAGATCTCGGATCCCTGGCTCGAGAATCTTGGACTCTCGATCCGTGGATCGATCGAGGACGGAGGGGGGAGGGAAGAGAGGAACTCTCGAGCGACGCAAGCAATTGCTCGAGGATATCGCAAGCGAAACGAGATATTCGCAGAGGATGTCTCAAGCGAAACAAGGAGGATGTCTGAAGCAAAGAGAGGAATTTCCGAGGATGTCTCAAGCGAAACGCGAGATTTGTTTCAGGATGTCTCAAGCGAAACAAGGGGGATGTCTCAAGCAAAAGCGAGGAATTTTCGAGGATGTCTCAAGCGGAACGCGAGATTTGTTTGAGGATGTCTCAAGCGAAACAAGATATTGCTAGAGGACGTTGGAGGGGGGAGGGGGGGGGAGAGAGAGAGAGGGGAGGGGAGGAGAAGAAGGGGGGAGGAGCGAGCGAGGAGGGAGGGGAGGAGGGAGGGAGAGGGCGAGAGGTGAGAGGGGGGAGGGAGGGGGGGGGGATGGAAGCGGCGGCGGCGACGGCAGCGACGACGGGGGCAGCGACGACGGCGGCGTCGTCGTCGTCGCTGTCGTCGTCGTCGGCGTCGTGGTCGTCGTCGTCGTCGCCGTCGTCGTCGTCGCCGTCGTCGTCTCTGCCGGCGTCGCTGCCGTCGTCGCTGCCGTCGCCCCTTTCTCCCTTCCTCCCTCCCTCTCTCCTTCCCCCCCGCGCAGCGACGAGCGTCGAGGCGAGCCTCGAACCTCCGCGCTCTCGAGCTCCAGTGGGCCTCGAGCTGGGATCT